TTCTATGATAATTTTTTATTGATCGAATGCGGGGGAGAATATGTTTTTAAGTAATTATGTAGTTTCATTTACAGTCTATAATTATAATGCCTAATTCAGATCTAAACAAGTAAACCTAGTAAACGCTTTCCTTTTTTCATTTATATTCTTATCTCGCCAGACTAATCATTTTTCCGATTCATTTATAAGGTATCGTATTAGTTACATGTCTCAAAAACTTCAGTTCTTTTGTAGATGCTTATTTAGCCTGCCTTGTAGTATTTTCGACTTTGTCCTTGTTGACTGTTCTATTTGTAAAATTCAAAAACATTTTTTTTGAAACAATTAGTACTCAAAGACTTTCAGAACATTAATTTTATTAGGTGTGTGTAACCCTGTTTTAATTTAATTAATTCTTAAACAGAAAAAACATATCCTAGAAAAAATGGGTATGCTTTTTGTTTTGTTTTTTTGTTATTTTGTTTTGTTTTGTTTTTTTATTTTGTTTCCCTTTTTGGATCACTTTTTCAATAAAACATTACATGGACCTTGATGCAACAAGAGTCTTTTTTATGATATGTATTGATATGTGGGACTTAACTAGTGACAAAAATAAGTGTTGTGTTATTTGTTTTATGTTGTTCTTCAGTTAAAACTAATATATTATTACATTTATGACACGAAGAACAGGTCTTATTGTGTGATGTCAGAGTAAGCATGCCCAGAAGAAATTAAACCACTTCCGCTTTATGTAGCCTAAACTATGTTGCGTCATATGTCGATTTAATATATTGTGAAATCAAAATAGAAGGAAAAACAGATTCTGACACATCTGCTTCATATCTGAACATTTTACTTGAAAAAGACGGTAATTGCAATGTAACAAAATATTTGATTGTAAATATAGCTCTACATACATGTATGCATGTGAGGGCTTTCATTTGTCTATGGGTAACTTTCCTTACTTATTATGTACATGCAGCAATATACCTCATCGCCTATGGTATTTACATGTATGTCTCCAATTTGATTCTGTATACCATGACAATTTCTAAAATGAGGAAATATTTTGACAAATAAAGTGATGAATTCAAAGCAAGAACACCAGCAGTTTAGTTTAAAGGCATCATATCGCAAGTTTTATGTTCGAACATGCACTTGTCAGTAATTGCAATTATGATGAGGTCATATGATACTAGTTGTTATGCCATTAATAACACTTTGAATTGTCTACGATTTGTCTAACGTTTGACCTACATGTAACATGAGAAGTAGCACATGTCGGGTGTGACTGGATGACAGGGGGTATTAACTTTAAATGGCAGCTGAACGAACCTCTGATATTTTTAGAGGTCCATGTTCCCTCTGCTCACAATTTGTAGTTTAAAGCCTTTGAGGTTAACTCCATATTTCATGGTTGAATGATTTTTCCTTTATATTAATATTGAATTATGATATACTTAAATATTATACACAAAAGTGAAAGTTGAACACCAATAAAGAATATTTACCATCCATTCTAACACAAAGTCAAATTTCTTAAATATTATACAAAAAGTGGAAGTCGAATTCCAATTAAGAATTTATATTTCAATCTTATCCATGTTATCATAAGACAAAGTCAATTAAATTTTCCAAAAAGCTTGTATCATTATACAATTTTAACTTATATAATGTTTTGCTGTATCAAAATCATGATTTTATGATAATGATGAGTATTGTGTGTTCCATAGGTCAAAAGAGCGATAATCCATTCTTCGCGAATCTCTGAAAAATGTATAGCGAGATAATTATGATATTGACTAGAAGTTGTCCCAAGATTTGATATCTTTACTACATGTACTCTAGATCTATTGGTTGTCACAAAATGAGTGACATAATCATCTTGCAATAGCCATGGGGTGTCTTATAAATGGTGTGGCCAAATGAAAAACATTATTTATATGGTACATAAACTACATATATCACTGATCAGTTTGGAATCTTTATGTCTGATTTTTTCCTAAAGTAACACGTCAATAAATCAAGAACATTATAAACAAGACTAGTATTGGAAAGGTAAATATTGAAATCTGTGCGTTTGCAATTAGTAGTTGTTGATCCTTCTCCAAGTGCCCAGTACTAGAGATGAAAGAGTCTTTCAAAGACAACCTTAACGTTTGACGATCCGCTCCTTGAAAATTTGAATGTGCATGTCTTTGTAACATGTTTTAATTATTTTTATTAATAAGTATCTTATATTTTCTAGGCTGCTTTTTAATTGTCGTAAAAGACATAAATACCAGCATTTTATAATGATATCCAGTAGAAATATAAAGGAAACGCTATCATTTGTTTCCTACACAAATGTCTTGAATGTACCTACATATTTTGCAGGGATATTTGTTTACGTTGGAATCACTCAATTAGAGGTTTTTAAAAATTGCGTTATTGAAGAACGTCTCATGTGACATTAAGAACTGGTGTTCCATGTCTAAGTCGGTGTTCAAACGATGAAGATCATTCTCCGCTACTTGTAAGTGGCATGCATAGAGTCAAAATTTGCAGCAGGTGATGTCTTAATCTGAGTGCAAAGTTCTTGAATGTGAAGTTAAACAACAATTAATGAATCAGTCATAATTTTTTTCAATAACCATATAAAAATTAGCTCTTGTCAAATAAAAGAACAACAATTAAAATCATTTTATAATAATTTTGCATGTGAATATTTCTTATGTGATAATCAAAATATTTAAGGAATCACAACAAGAACGTCCATTTGACAGAAGTTATTCTTACTCTTTCAAGGCACCTAAACTGATTGTTGATGTTTCCAGAGATGTTTTTTGCATTGTGGCGACTTTGACTTTTCTATCGACAACTTCCCTTACTGATGCAGCAATATATCTTCATCACCTGCATACGAAGTGTATATATCTCAGTTGATTCGATACGCAAGAGCATGCTCTACGTATGTACAATTTCTAAAACGAGGTAAATTATTGACAAGGAAGTTGATGGAACAAGAATATCAGCAGTCTCGTTTAAAGTCATCATTTCCTAAGTTCTATGGTCGATACAATGACCTTGTCAGCAAATACAATTTATCATTGAGTCAAATGCTGACTGACGTTTTTCATACCAATTGTTAGTCCTTTATACACTGAATTGACGACGGATTTTTCCTTTATTTCACGACATGACAATGAGCACACGGCAGGTGTGACAGGTCAGCAAGGGATGCTCACTCCTCCATGGCACCTGATCCCACCTCTGATGTTTCGGAGGTCCGTGTTTGCTCTGGTCTTCTTTTGTATGTTTTATGGACTTTGAGATTGAATACTGTTCGTTATCTCCATATCCTCCTTATATTGATTATAGAATTCAAGTAGATCCGTGCTGATTATCTTTATAACATTTTATATAACATCTTTTTTCTCATGTTGAAAATCCCATTTTTTATGCAAAGTCTAAAAATTAATAGGGTCAAAAATATACGAGGGTTGTTTGAAAAGTTCGTGAACGATGTCAATCTTCCTTATATTATACACTAGAAATTTAAAATAAGCACAATATAATATGTAAAAATATTTTTTTGTTGATGTGCGAAGTTTCATTCCATTCGATTTAACAGAAATCAATTTATTTCATTTTAAAATCAACATGTTTTCTACCCGCTGAGCACATTTGATGGCAATGTAACGTCAAAACATAGCGTCATGAATTTAACAAAAAAAAAACAAAACAAAAAAAAAAACAAACACTTACTATCCCTATACATTTCACACACTATAATTCTATGCCCACTTATTAAATCCTTTCTCTAATACTTGACATTTATTATTTTTAAGAGTAGCTCTCGTTTTATAATTTCCTTTGTTAAGGTTTTAATTTCTTTTATTTCTTAACTCTACTTTCACATGATACACAACTCTGAAGCGCCTATGTCTCCCCTCATTCCAACTTTTTAAAGTTTTTGTTCAGATTTTTACAGTTAAACCGTAACTTCACAGATTGTCCTCTGTCACACAAATACTATCTTTACTATTGCACACACATGCACAACTCGTTTGTGACATATTTTCTTGATTTCTCCAAAATTTTAGAGTTTATTTTGGGTTTTTCCGTAGTTAAACACAAAATTACATCATTATCTGCTGCTACGTGAAATTCGAAAACGTCATCGTTTTTTTTTTCAAAAAGGACTACCTATCTCCTCTGGTGGATTTCTTTTCAACAAGGGAAAATATAAAGCCATAATGTGGTATGTAAAAATTCTTAATTTGATTTTCTAGGTTGTTTTTTTTCGTTTTTGCTCCATTTTACAGAGAATATGGCAACAGACATTGTATAGTGTTTTTGCCTGTAACTTCCCAAATGTTGACCTGCTCTGCGATCCGATTTTGGCATTTTAAAAATCTGGATAAGTTTGAAAAACTGTAATATTATGAAAAAAATTAAGTCAAATCATTTGGATTAATTGTAAAAATATTTCTACCAATTTTGGATAACATATGACGTCAAATAAAAAAGATATGACAGTTGTTCACGAACTTTTCGAACAACTCTCGTAATAGTGCAACAAAAGATATAAGGAGCACATTCATTTACGGCTCATCTTAACTGCTTTTCCTTTACCGATATTCCAAATTCTTCTAAGAACTTTCTATACAAAGATTTAATGGCATGTAAGAGGTTGAATATTATTATTATAATTATAGAAAAACTAAACACGATTTTACCTAAAAAGCCTTGATGCAAACTTATAAAATCTTATGCACTTTATGACATGTTCTAGTACATAAAAAAAACACCCAAAACACAAGAAATGTATTAAGTAAACAAATCATCAATAAAGTTCTTTATTCACCAACAGTTCCACAAACTAATACGTGAAGGCTTGACTTGTACTTTAAATGTTATGATTTTTAGAACTCACAATAGTGTGTCTATTTGACTAAAGATGTGTAGGTTTTTAAAGTGAAAAAGGAAGTGTATTATATCATACATAAGGATAAGAAATTACATAACTTTTCCCCTAAATACGTGCTGCACAGTGTGACCATAACTTTAGTGTTATTTAAATCATCAAAACATAAAGTTTTTCTATCAGTTTATCTGTAGACACCCGTAGAACACAAGTCAGAATCCTTTGACTTATTTAAGAACAATTAATATCGGTTTTGAACTATTTCCAAAAGAAGAACCAAACATGACAAATATTTTGAGCCATAATATCACTCAAATGATGGATGTAAACTTTACAAAAAAACTAACAGACGAGGACAAATTTCAAATTTATATTGATGATGTGTTTGGAAAAGTGTATATACCGAGCTATATCTTCATAATTTTGATGCTTGTCCTAGGATGTTTTGGTAATACTACCGTCATTTACGTTTTCTACTCCAAATGGCATAAAACCACGTACAGAGTATTCATTATCGCTCTGGCAATATTGGACTTGGTCAATGTTTTGGTCACAGTTCCTTCTGAACTATACCTTATGCAAAATGCGTTTAAGTTTTCGAATGAAGTTTTCTGCAAGGTATCCCGATTTTGTACTTTCACACTGAATATATCCTCTGCATTTACTCTGATAAGTATTGCAGGAGATCGATACTTTAGAGTTTGTCGACCTTTACAAAAGCAGCTGTCTGTGAAGAAAGCTAAAATAATTGTTCTGGTCGGAATAATTATTGCCATAGTGTTTGCATGGCCCGTTCTTCTTATGTACGGAACACGCTCTATAGTCGTACAAGTCGCTCCACAAATCTTTGTTCCGGGGCATATCTGTATGATAAACGATGCTTTCAAGTACACTGCCTATTCTTTGGTCTTTTCAGCCATTACGTTAATAGTCATGTTCTCTTCCGATTGTATCCTTATCATATTATATAGTCTCATTGTTGTAAACATTCGGAGAAGAGTTGTTTTCAGTTTGAAAACATCCCGGATTAAAACGCAAACTGACAAGAAACAAAGAGACAAAGCGGCAGTTGAGAGTAAAGTTCAAAGTGACTTATTAAAATCTCTTGGAACACCTACAGATGTCGAGCTCAAGGGATATCCTCAGGAGAAAACAAATGTGATTGGAATGATGGATGCGACCGCTTATGATAAAAGTGAAAGTTCTGAAAACTGCACTAAAAGCAACTCAAGGGAAATAATTTCGAACTCCTCTCAGAATGAAAAGATTCAAAGTGAGCGTGTTCATAAGGTTACCTTGATGCTCTTTTTGGTCACAGTGATCTTTATTTTGTCTTTTTTACCACTCTATGTAATAGTATTTATTCGCATTGTACAACCTAATCATTACAATAACCTCACTTTCGAAGGGAAGGCCACTTACAGTTTTTTTCAAAGATCTTTTATCATTAACATGTGTGCAAATCCAGTGTTGTACGGGTTTTTAAGTAAAAAATTCAGAATGGAATGTGGAAATGTATTAAAACGATTATGGAATTATTTCCAGAACAAAAATGTCTTTGGGACATAAGAATATGATTACCACGCAATATTTGCTTAAACAGACAAGTAAATTGAAAGTTAACTATACATGTAAATCTACTTGTTTAATTCTTATAAATATTTTTTTTTTTTAAAATGCTTATTGAAATATTATGACAAGGATTTCTATAGGAAAAAATACTCCAAACTGCCTAAACTACAAGCCGATAAAGATATATTAATATGCTTGTTTGTAAGATTATAATAAAAGCACATTGTATTGTTAAATTATAATAAAAGTACACTGTATTGTTTAACTGCTTGGAAATTTTTTAAATCTACGGAAGCGTGTTGAGGCCAGATCAGAGGAAGAAATATTTTTATTGCACTTAAACGCAATATTTTGTGTTTAATCGCAATAATTGTTGCGTTTAAACACAAAACATTGCGATTAATTGCAATAATCATTTCCTTTAAACGCAAAGCACTTAATTTTCTTATACGTTTTTCGTTTTACGTTTATAAGTTTTTCTACGTTTAAACTTGAAACGTATGCGTACAATTTTAAAGTATTGCGAAATAAAAAACTGTAGAACAAATTATGCTTGAAACACTATCACCCCACGTTGCTGTCACTAAGTTTAAACCATGTATAAGGGTTATGGAAGCGACTGGTGAAATGTTTAGCCTTATGTTTATGTATATATTTTGTATATGTACATATTCACAACCTTTCGTCAAAACTTTTTTAAAACTGAAAAATAGAGACTTGATATTTGATATGCTTACTCCACTATTTAAACTCTTTCAAATGATACCAGGGTCATTGACCTAGTGACCTTGACTGTAATATGTAATATATGCTAAAAATAGCATTTTTGTCTGCAAACGTTAACCTTCGTCATAACTTTTAAAATTTGAAAGACAGAGACTTCGTATTTGGTATGCATAGTCGACGAATAAAGTTCTAAAAAATGACACACAGGTCAGTGACCTTGAGACCTTGACTATGACCTATATGCTAGAAAAGCATTTTTGAACCTTCGCCATTACTTCTGAACCATGAGAGATAGATACTTCATATTTGGTATGCATACTCCACTAATTTCTAAGTTATTTTAAATCACACAAAGGCTAATGACCTTGTGTCTTTGACTGTGACCTATATGCTAAAAATAGCTTTTTCTTATCTTCACTATTACTAATGAATCATAAGAGATACAGACTTCATATTGGGTATGCATACTCCACTAATCCAGTTCTTTCAAATGACACAAAGGTCAATGTCATTGTGACCTTGACTGTGAATTATATGCTAAAATAGCTCTTCTCAAACTTTGTTGCCGCTGGATGCATAGTGTTTCACTAACACATCTTGTTTTCATTGTTGTGTCGCTTACAAATTTACTGTAGTATTATCTTAAGTAAAATTAAAGACCGATTTCAACTTTATAATTAGGACTTAACATACACCACAGGCACTTGTTTCGTATACGGGATACCCCCTACATGTAATTATATTTACCACAAGGTACTTAACTCATTTTCAGGCAATCTAATCAAACTTTGTTATTTTTGTTAATAAATCAATCATTAATCTACTTTAAAATGACATCGTTCGCTTTAAGGGACCTTTTTCTTGCCACGCGGGTATGTTAAGGAAGCATATAAATAATTTCTCGGGAAATTTAGACTTTTTGAAGAAAATTTAGTTTAATAAATTACCAAAACCACTGATAAACGTAAACTGTTATTTACTTTTGCATAGAGATAAAAGCGTGTCTAACGCGAAGAAGTGCATCACCGCCACGGAATCACGTGACTTCTATTAATAGCAAAATTTTCCTGAAAATCTATAACCACAACAGAGTTTGAGTAAATTTCTTTGAGATGTCTAATATACTTTGAAAAACAGGTAATTTTTTAGGAAAAATGAGTAGTTTACAAACGTAAAATATTTATTCCACACATTCGCACGAAACCTTACCTGAAACAATTTAATTTTAACAAGAATAGAGTCTTTTGAAGCAACCATGATATGATTTTAAAGTACTTTAAATGATTAATATATTAACAAACTTTCGAATCTGTACAAATAGTATGTTTTGAAATATGAGCTTAAAGTACCTTGTGGTAAATATAAGTAGGGGCATCCCGTATACGAAACAAGTGTAACATACACACATAGTTTTGTAAATATTTATATAATGAATTTGTCAGCAATTGCAATTTATCATGAATTTAATCATGTGCTAATTGACGTTTTCATACTCATTTAGTTGATACGTCATTATTTATATTTGAATTGTCTTCGATTTTTTTTAACATTTGACCTGTCATGAGAAGTAGCACACAACGGATGTGACTGGTTGAGAAGAAATTTTAACTCTTTGATGGGAGCTCAACGTACCCCAAATATTATCAATGGTCCATGTTCCCTCTGCTCCCGATTTGTATTTTAAATATAGACTTTTGGAATGTTTTAAAGTTGAAGGATTTTTTTTCTGTTTATCGCCATATGTTTTATTGAACAACTTTGTACTTAAATATAACACACAAAAGTTAAAGTCCAGTACCAATAAAACATATTTCCATTTTATCATAACACAAAGTCGATTTCCATAAAGCGTGTATCATTATACATTTTCAACTTTAATATTTTTTTTGGCCTCTTTACCGTATCTTAAACATGATTTTATTAAAGAAAAAAACATAATGGTCAATAGTGTGTGCTCCGTAGGACGAAACAGCAATAATCCGTTCTTCGCAAATCCCTGAAAAATGTTTCAATAGATAATTGTGATACCGCCTAGAAGTTGCCTGGTAGTTGTCCACTGGTTTTATTCCTGTACATGTACTACATTACCACTGATTTAATGCCTGTACTACAGGTACTGTGACTTTTGGTCGTCACAAATATGCGACATAATCTTGCAATAGTCGTGCGGTGTCTGATGGAATTAGAAAGGTATATATTGAGATTGGGGCGTTTGCAATTGCATTTTTGTAGTAATTAATTTTTTCAAACAAGACCTTGTTGTTTGACCATCCGTACCTTGAAAATCTGAATTAGTATATCTTTGTAACATACTTATTTCCATTTATGGTTATTATTATCTTATATTTTCTAAGCTGTTTTAAAATGTCGTAAAATACATAAATACGAGCATTTTGATGATATTCAATGATTTTAAAGAAAAATCCTCTGTTTTTAACTCAAATGTCTTGATATGTTTTGAGGATGTTTGTGTCCGCAGGAGTCATTCAATCATAGTTATGGGAAAATTCCATACTAATTGAAGAACGTTTCGTGTGACCTAAATACCCGAGGTCCCATGACCTGGTCCAGGTTCAGAGGATGGAGATCCTTCTCCTTATCATGTAAACAACATGCATAGAGTCAAAATTTGTAGCAGATGTTTTAATCTGAGCACAAAATTCTAGACTGTGCTATTAAACAACAATCAATAAATCAGTCAATTTTTTTTAATAAACATATGATATAAAACCTTTTTCTCAAATAAAAGAACAACAATTAAAGATTTTTTGTTACAAAAGAGAGATCAATTAAGTACCAAAATGTACATGCAATAATACGAAAATATTTGAATTTATATTCTTTAAACAATACACGAAATTAAACTCAGATGATTCTTAATAAAATATAACAGAATTAAAAAAGGATAGGATTGAACAGGTGTAATGTATGACTAATGATATATAAATGTGTAATATTTTAAAAAATGAATAATAACATTCTCAATTCTATTTGCATGTAGCACGATAGCTATCAAAACGGTTTCAAATGATGTATGATAAACAGCTTAGAACTGCCAAATAAGAGTTGAATTCGAAAACTGAGGAACTGGAAAAAATAAAGTTAAATATCTGTTAATGTTATCAAAAAATTAAATGTAGCATATTTTTGTTTTGTAAATTTTGTTCTTAGATGCTACTCCCAATAATAAAAAACTCCAAATAAATAAACTAGAGGTACTGTGATCAGTGAGCTCATTAAATACCCACCTCCGTCTCGCATCTGATTATAATTCCCCTTACTATTTTTACCACAAGGTATCCTTTTCAATTTCTGGCACCGGCCCCGCTTCAAGCTCGTATTTTGCTAATATATCAATCATTTAATCTACTTTCAAATGACATTGTTCCCTTCAACAAACTTTTTCTTGTCAAACAAATCATTTCAGACGTCTCTGGTCGAACATTTTTATAGTTAACCACTCATTTATTCATCAAAACACACTAATAGACTTTAGATGGGATACAACTTCCGGTTGGGGTAGGATAAAACAAGAGACTTCCGAGTATTCCATTCCGATATCTCTAGTTTTATCCTTCATTTATAACCAAAACTGGAAATTTTTATCACATCTACAGTCTTTAAGAAAATATATCGAGGTAATTTTTGAGGAATAAATGAGTAGTTTACAAAATAAAATTGAATAACTGTTAATATATCAAGAAAAAAAGTGCATTTTTTTGATCCTAATATAGAAAACTATAACATAAAAAACAAGAAAACATTGATGTAACCATCAAATGTCGCCCGGGAAATATATAAAGTAAACAATGAAAATGAGTCTTGATCAACAAACTGCTTCAATATGAGTAAAAAGGCATGCGTCTAATTGATGGAGACGATAGTCGCAATATTTTGAAAACTTGTAGTCGGATAAAAATCAATCATAAACGATACCATTTTAAACTTGATCAATTCGTCAAGTAAATGTTGGCTGCATAAAATATAAATTGAAGTTAGACACAAGCATCATTTATATTTAAAAATGTTTTATTTCAATTTTAGAATATAAAACATGAACTGTGCAAAGTACGTTTTCATCCGAGAAGTAAAATTCGATGTTCTAAAAAAGGGGACCTGTCGTTTTTTTGATAGTAAATGATGAACAACTTTATATATTAAAAATGAAAAACATATATATTTTTACAGATTCACTTTATGGTAGTAAAGATATTATGTTTCTCGTAATTTATAAACGGAAAGAACATTCTGATTAACAATCTTTTCAATGTTTAGAAAACCTTTAATTCTACATAACTACTCCCATTGAAATCCCCATACACCAACACTTAAACTTATATGAGCGGTCCTCCGGGCTGCAATAAAGTTAAACAGATTAACTTTCATCATGACAGGTTGTACTGTTGAACTGACACTTTTTACGTGTGTCGTCCCATTTCAGGAGTCCGTCCTCAAACTTTGCACATGTTTTATTAACGGTGATGTTATTTGAACAGGACACAAACCCAAAGCAGGTAAAACAAGATTGGTAATCTCCGTCTATTACAGCCGTACAATCACTCACACATTCTGCATGAGAAGCAAAGAATCTGGTTATAAAAGGATATATTTCTCTATTTTAAGCAAAATACAAGTATATGAGAAATACGAACTTATTTGTCTTACCAGTTTTGGGGGAAGGTATCAAATATTCCTTTATGACTTTGATTATGGTCGCTGTGTTCGAAATGTCTTTTAAAAAAAAGAAAACCAATTAAACAAAAAAGTTTATTATATTGTACCTATGAGATGAGAATACGCTTGACGTTTTCTTACTAATACCAATGTATTACAAACACTCACAGTGTACAATGTAAGTCTGTGGTCAAAATCGTCAAGTGGTGATCTTACCTTTTTTAAAGATAAGACTTGTCTAATGATATATAATATGTTATGTTGAATTTTTTTTTATTTTTAAGTGGATTGAAAATCATACTCATATTAAAAGCATATCCTTTTTCTGAAGTATTATATTTATATAGAAAGATGTACTGCTTATTTCTTGAATAAATGTGCTTCTATAAACCATTTCTAACATCCAAAGCGTTAGAGTGTCATGGGCCGCATCATTTACCTTCACACTTTCAAATTTAGAGAAAAGCCCATGCCAATAAATATTTTTTAAAGATTAATTTTCACTACATATGTTTTCTATATAGCAAAATTAGTATTACCCCTTCCAATATGTGATATGTATAAAAATAAACCACGTGTGTTTAAATGATTAATTCAATTACATATAAGACTCTTTGTTCTTCTGAAGATTTCTGAAGATTTTTGAAGATATTTTCCGTATTTAACCACCTGTACTTATATGACCTATCGCAGCATTGCTGATCTTAAGATATATTTAAAAGATATTTATTTCATATTCCTACGTGTACCTTCAACCTCCTATTGTGGTCCAACCCATTATTTGAACAAAATTCAAAACAACCTACATGAGGTTATTTTTTGAAAATATTACTAATCAATGTTTTGTTTATCTTGATAATATATTTCCTGAATATTTCTATGTATATTTCTATGCTGTGTCCTCTGTTAGAGTAAAGAAATGAACATATTTGAATCAACATTCTTGGAGAGAAACAAAAATGTGAAAAGTTCACAGACAATGACAGACTCAGCACACCTTCTATCAGATAAGCTCTATTGAGCCTTTTGATATGGTAAGTAAAATATTCCTTTTCTAGACCATTTCTTTTTATAAAACGTAGTACTACATAAAATTTAAATCCTACCCTGAAAAATCCTCACAAATTTAATACACTTACTATTTACATATGTAAAAACACTAAATACGTACCTTTATGTATTTCTGATCGTAGAAATGCAACAGTACTGTTGAGATTTTCTGTTATTTTTGGTAATTCTGAGAGTTGATCCGTATTAAGGGCACTTAATGCTGCACCAACAGAGACAGCGAGGAAAAATATCACAATAAGTACAATTCTGCACCACTTTAGGCCTGGTTTCTGAAAAGTCAATAATCCTTGATATCATACGAAAAAGAGAATATGAGCGAAAAACCTAATTAATTAAACGTCTAAATTATGCAGAATTTTAGATTGATGATTCTGAAAAAAAATGATACAGAAATTATTCAGTAGATTAGCTCTATGGCAACAATGCAACAATGCCTACAAATCTCATGATCAGTCAACAGGGAATGTTCAGTCCTGCATGGCACCTGACCCCTCTAATGTTTAGAGGTCTGGTTTTTACTCTGCTCCTGATTTAATTTGTTGGAATGGACTTTTGAGCTTAAACACTATTCATTATCACAATATTTCATGTCAAGATTATGGTCGTTGACTTTATAGTTGCAAGTAACATTTGAAATCAATGTCTTTTCAAAACATGTGATTGGCCATCAGCAAAAATATGCGTTTAGATTGTAAACACAAGTTCTCTGAAGTTGAGATCCAATTCTACCACACTTATCAGCCATTTAATTAATAATTATTCGGAACTGGTCAAACAACAGTTGCAAAACTTAAGCCCTTGCTTTCTTTTATTTTTACTGAAATTGACTGTGGAATGTTCCGACGACCTGATCAATACATAGGGCCCATGGGAGGTGTGACCGGTAAACAGGGATTGCTTACTTCTCCTAAGCACGTGATTCAATCTCTGGATTTTCATAGGGTCTGTGTTTTATGCCTCTTTCACATATTTGTGTTGTTTATAGATTTTCTTGAAATATTTCTCAGAAGTTAATTTTTAAAAATATTATAGTTTCTGATCGACAATATAAATTAAGTTTTTAGATTCAGATCTTCCAAGAGCCTGTCAAAATTTCCAATCCTGCCACGGATAATGCAGACATATTTTTATATTCATATAAAGCAGAATGAATTCCTTCAAAAAGAAAACGTGTACATAAGAAGAAAAGGTTTCTAAGCTGTGACGTTTAATTCAACAATTTCATATATCGACGGCGTCTTATCTTTAAATATTATTTTCAATATTCGATATATCCCCTTGGTATTGATATGATAGATACCACAGATTCCGGCTCATATGTTTCATAATTTTTCTATCGTCATCTTTCCTGAATTGTGTAGCAATATAAGATTATCATCTGCATATGCAGTGATGTGATTACTCGTAAGACTGTTTTTTACAGTCTGACTTGTAAACGAATTTTTACCCTAGGAACAAACGGCGGTTGTGACGGTCGACAAGAGATGCTCACTCCTTCTTGGGACCTGATCCCACCTCTGATGTTTTAGAGGTCCTCGTTTGCTCTGCTCTAAAATTTGTATTGTTTAATGGACTATTGAGCTTGCATACTGCTCGTTATCTTCATATATTTTTTTACTCCTCCATGTCATCTGAATCCACCTCTAATGTTTTAAAGGTACCTGTTTACTCCGATCTCGATTTGTATTGATTGAATAGCCTTTTGAGCTTGCAATTGAGACTTACGAGATTATAATTACTTTTCGTTATATTCTTAGTTCATTTATAATATTTGGTCGGAGTGCTGTAAGTTCGAACCTCGGCCGCGTCGGACCAAAGTCGATATAAAATAGGAAACAAATTTTCTTCGCCAAGGGCTTGCCAACTTAAGTGAAAGTTACAGATCCTTCGGATAAGACATTAAAAGCGATATCTTTTTCACTACAGGCGTAGGTACGATGAAGATCCTTACCTGCTCAATGACACTGAGGGCCGGGTAAATGTATAAATTTAAACCCGTCCACGGCATATCAGTTAAGAATTCTCGAATTGGATGTTAAACAACAAACAGTTTATCAATTAATCATACTAATTGATAAGCCCTTTTATTCACTGAATTGTCAATCATTTTCCCGTTTGTTCGATCTTGATGAGGAGCACGTGAAAGGTGTGACCGGTCGATAGGAGATGCTTACTCCTCCACAACACCTGTTCCCACTCCTGACGTTTTGAGAGGACTCTTTTGCTTTATGCTTCCGCATTCTTAAATTGTTTCCATGCATAAATACTTTCGTATGGGCGGCGGAAAGGGTAAAAAAGACGTAAATGCAAAAGTAACAAATGATTTCAAAAACATACTGAAATACAAAACAGACCAGCTTAAAACAAAATCAACAGACTCGTTTGCAAAATCAACAGACTCCGATGCAAAACCAATAGGCATTCACTGAATTGACCTTAGACGGCGTGCAAAAAAACAGACATTACCTGAATTAAAACTAGTTGGCGCGCGTTTTTCTCCGTCATCATTTTATGTGTACTTTCATAGGAACGTAAATCCCGAGAAATTTACGTTTACGTTTACTCCTTTTCACCCTTTCCGCCGCCCATACTTTTGATGCTTGAGAACAGTTCATTTTATCCTCAATACTAGTATATCATGTAATAAAGTCAAACACCTTTATTAAATGATGCTTTCTGGCAACTTTAGCTGTAATTGAGGAAATATGTTGAGAAGAAAATCAAAATGCTAAAGGTTTACAACGTCAACGAAATCGACGTCGTAGGGTCGACGATGACGAGAAATAAAAGAAGAAAAAAATAAGAAAAACACATTTGAGACTTTTCGGTAAATACCTTATTAACGAGTATCGGTTCATCTTGATCATCTAGTTCTGTTGACTCACTTTTTTCACTTTTGTCCTCTGGTATCTAAATACATGTATTTGAATGCTGAATTTTATGAATATAATTGTGATTCGAAAAGCATTAAATTAATGAAGACATAGATCATTATTTCAGGTATTTTTTTACCATATCTTTTTTGATACCTTTTATTTTGTTAAAAAAGCAACTCAAATATATTTCAATTATTGTTGCAATTTTAAGATACTTGGCAGTAGATGTTCAATGTTATACCTGGGTATTTATTTTGAGGCCCAGTTTTACCAGGTATATGATCGAAACTGTTCTAGAAGGCTTTACTTTAGTCGGAAAGTTATGAATCATTTAATTAAATATAAATAAATCATTTATTGTTGATAAGAAATGAATGAAATACTTACATCATCCTCAAGATATTGAAAAAACCGTCTTACGTCTCCGATTTTACTTAATATTCTTATTGTCTAAAATTAAAAAATACATTGCTCAAATCTGAACTTTGCATTTATTTTGAATGAAAGAGTGATGATATTTTTTTTTTATAATATTAATCGTAAACATACCAATTTTGTATAGATATGATATGTTTGACTTTTTCCATAACATTATTTTTTGAAAATTTTAATATCCTGTATCTTACTCACGGGGACCGCAGAAATATGGCTGAGATATCGCCGACTCGGCGTTAAACAATAAAAATCAATCAATTTATCTTACTTACGCGGCCTTTGATTCTACAAGAAATAAAATGATAGGTTGAAGTATATTTTTTATATCTCATCACACCATCTGTATTATTTCTTTTTACAAATTGTAAATTGAATTGTGTTACAATATGTATATACAAAAGTTAGAATTAGATTATCAATTAATTTTGATTTATATTACTAGTAACGCTGAAGTTGTTCTCGTACCTTACACGTCGTCCAGAATATTTCCAATATCCTTTAGGCTAAACAAAAAGGAAACTCATTTTAAATATAAAACATACGAGCAAATAACTCAAGTGTCTTCAGAGCATTATTAATCAATAAATATGATTGTCCAAGCACTTCTACTGTCCAAAAACCAATTTACTTAAATGTCCAAGTCATAACGAAGTAATTAATTTGTTGATATATTAAAAATCGGTACATTACCAGTGGGCACTAATTATCCCCTTTATAAGCTGATTTTATATATAAAAAAAAATCTCTTCAAGCATGATAAGGGAAAAAGTCTTGTCGGGGCCTTCATACCAATACATAGATAAACCGATGTCGACGTTCTATGAATTAACAATAGTTACTTGCACTTCTTTATACAATGGAATACTTTTTTGGTTTTTAGTATGGAAATTAATGTCGAAGCTATTTCAGAAAAAAAACATACATGTACATGTAATTTTTTTTTTGCAACAGCTGCGACGTCAATCGCCGTACTAACAACCAAAGAAAGGCATTTTATTGTTCATATTCATATCTGAATAGATAATCATTTAAAATTGGATAAAAAAAAATTAATTATTGTATTAATGATATATATGTACATGTATTTGTACGATTTATTGATGAACAGTCACTGATCAAGATTTCTGTATAGTGAAACTGTGAAGTTTCAAGATTTACTTTATAATTTTTCTTGGATGGAGAGTAAATTTACAGTTTGTTTAAAAGGAAAAGAAATAAATACTCATCAAAAAGAAAAAAAAAAAACCGGAACGCATAGTAGGAACAAAACCCTGAAAAATGTATGATAGTTTTGCCATACCTTTTTTCATATATGGATATGATGCATTCGAGTAAAATGTGTTTTTTTTAATGCAATTGTTAACTTTACAGCTATTCTATAAATCTCACAGACAAAAAGACCGGATTTTGCAAAATGCCCAAAAAAATTTGATCTCAATTTTCAGTTGTTGATTTTTGATGCAATTCCTTCAGGCACAAAGGGGCTTTCTGAATCTGGTTTTATCTGAAAATTGACGCTTTCTAAAAATGCGGCATCTGAATGTTGCATAGCTCAAAAAGGAAAATGCGGGACTAAAAACAGGTCTACAATTGCAAGAGGTTTTAGTGTTACACACAGCACCATATCTAACCAATAAGACACAAACCATTAACATGGAACATCCTATGTTCGCAAAAATTGCGGGAGATCACGTGTGGCATCAGCAGCAGAGGATCACTTCAGAGGATTACGTAAATTTCATGAATGTGAAACAATGACGTCATCTACTGCATAAGCTATCCCGGAATTGCATAGACCATCTAACAAGACCGTTTGCAGTTGACTTCGAATTATTGCAAGAGGATAATTCCTGCAATTGTTCCGACCCAACAACACCCCAAATAATGACTTCAAAGATCTCAGATCAATAGAGTATGACCGCAGCATCGCCACTGAACATTTTGGTTTAACTACTAGTCCAGAATGTTTCTAGGAAAGCCTATTATAAGTTTAAGAGTTTTTAATCCTTCGTAATGAACGTTAGACAGAAAACTGCATGCAGGACGTTAAAAAATTGGTGGTGGTAGAGTAATGATCTGGAAAATGCTACTACATAAAAGTAAGACTGATTTAGTTCATATTCAAAGGGCTTTGATGGGAAAGGGTACTCTAACAATGTTCTACCTGCTTATGCCTATTCAATTTTGCAGCATCCTAGAGCCGTATTTCAATCTGAAAATAGACAGCCACATACGGCTCGTTTTACAATCCCATTCCTGCAAAAAGCTACAGCAATCTATCATAGTCATCTTAATCGCCAGATTTAAACCCAATTGAGCAACATTGAACAAAAAGGATTGAAATGATTTGCCAAACACAATCGCAACCCCAGACTCTAGCTGCAACAGCTGACCAAAGCAGTTCTACATTTGGAGTGGTAGAGTATTCCTATACAGTTTTTATTACATACATTGGCTTTTATTAATTAGATTATGTTTTTTGGCTATCATTTGTGTCTGTTGGGGGGGGGGGGGGGGGGGCATATCAGATATTGATCGTAAATGACCTTAAACTGTCTATGATTTTGAAATTCTTGGGTAATTATGACATTCAGATAGTATTCCTATTGTTAACTACATTTCTGTATTACGAGTACATCATTTTACTAAATGATCTTTATGTTCAGTGTTTGACTAAAATTCTACTATACGTTTCTTTTTTTGAAGAATATGTGATACATCTACACATCGTCTCGAGCCACGGTCCTTAGTCCGCATTTAGCTCTCTCCTACCCGTGGCTGCTTGATCACTAAAAGTTTCGTAATCTTGAATATTTACGCCTCTATACTGTGACGTCATATTTAGCCAATAACAATTTTTGTTTCAGTTGCAATTGAAATCCACAATTGACTATCAGCAGTATACAGGTAATATTTCGTACACTGCGATTGGCTATTGAAAGGTCGCATCAAAGTCCATTATCCTACCATGCTATACTCGCATTGCTCAACATTTTAAAGAGATTCGAAATACTCTTTTCTTATTCAATAAAGACCAGAATGGGAGAGGATCATACATTTTGGCTGTGGTTTGCGACAATGACATTTACATTAAATTGATAATCAAATGTGGGGTTGAGATGAATTGGAATTTTCCAATAATATGCAAATATAGGTGAACATTTTCCATTTAGACCAATTGATCATATGCAATACTATTCCTGAAAATAGGCTAAAAATATAATAGATTGGACAAGATAAGAATATTCAGTATCCGTAAGCATCAAAATGGACTGGAAATTGACTCTCACATCCTTTGTTGAAATTCATTAGAATTATTATTATATTTTTAGTCCATTTTCAGGAATAGTATTGTATATGATCAATTGGTCTCCATATCAATAGGTCACATATATTTACCTATCAAATGCATTTAAAGTTCCATATTAATGAATACGTACAAATAAATACAAATATTTGTCTTTTACTTATTAAAATTATAGGATACCAGATGTACCTTTAATACAAAGTATATTTGAAATACTGGAAAAATCAGAATATAATTTCTGTTCAGATTTAAACTTCATGTAAATCTTTCAATTTTTCTTTTGGAAAAAAGAACTCAGATTGTTTATTATTTATTTTTTTTTCATAATTATGCTATTCCTAACAACAAACTATGATATACTTTGACCTTGTATTATCTGAAATTTCAATTCGGGATTATTCACACGGTGGGCAGTGGACAAGTGGAGTAAGTTTGTTACATTTTCTACTTGCCCACTGAAATCTTGGTTGATTTTCATTGTTTCCATCTCGAGGTTGACTGTCGATCGATGGTCTACAATAGAGAAGTAAACTTATCTATTTATCATTTGAAAATGCTTAAAAATTAAAAACAATAAAATCACACAATTCAAATTTGAAAATGTATATTTTATTTAAAAATTACTAACATAGAACTATTAGGGTTGTCAAATGATACACCACTTGATTGACTAGGACTTGAACTGGACCTTGAGCTTCTTTCTTCAGAGTTGAGGGCCTGTATAAAAGATCAAATTTCAAATCATTTCATGTGACTACACGACCTTACTATCTGTGGAATGAAATGATCTAGCGAGCACAGCGAGCTCAATAGACTAACGTGTAAGAACAGAGGAAATCTGGAATGAAATCTGAACATACGTCAGGAAATTTTTGTGTGAAATCTTCCAGGAATTCCTTTCCTACCAGGATTCCATGCAATAATAGCGAATGAATAAATAAAAAAACATGAAATATGACATGCTTTTGGTTTGTAGAAATCTTACAAGAAAAAAGAAAATACTCTACAATGTTCTTCGTCAAATATTGCACTAAATCTATTGTAACAGTTTCAAAGAGACGCTCGGCTGTCTCCGTAAGCTCCGACGAGCTCAGTTACGTCCTGTGAAGTCGCAGCTATGTCAACGTTTTAAGTGTGTCTTAAGGTAAAACTGCGCTCGCCCTAACGGTCACATTGTAAAAGATATTAATGATTTGAATGTAAAAGAAAATAATTATATATAAACAAACACCCATGCTTAC